AAAAAAAACGCATATTTGGGGTAATAATAACGCAAAAATTTTTTTTTCGCCCCCCCCCCCCCCTGAAATTTTTTCGCTGGCCCGCCGATGGTTTCTTCGGTGGTTGATTCTAAAAGGTGAATAATTTGTTGATGGAATAACAGAAGTCGAAAAAATTAGTTTATGTTTACTTCTTTATTGCTCAGATTTTCACAGCGAACAGAATCTGAACTGGTCATACTAAGTCGTTTAAAAGGATAAAATTATGTCTTATACAAAAGAATTCATCGCGTTTTATATTCAGAAGTTAAACAAAAGAACGGATACAGCCAATTCTAATCGTTAGAATGAACTTAGACCCCTTTCACTCCGGAGAAATGGCGAGCTAATATAACGAAAATAGAAAACAACGAAGTATTTATAGTTGGATCTTTTTAGTATATTTAATCATCACATATAGCGACATCTTTTGTATTTAAGCTATGAATCCGTTTTCTCCCTTGATTAGGATGACCAGCTATAAATTTCAGAAGTCAGTGCCAAGAATGAACTTCATTGTAAGAAATTCTCATATTCATCTAGATAGTTACGTAATATTTCAAGGAGCACAGTATTCAATAGCATTGCAAAATCGTATTATTAACCAGTCTTAATTACCTAAATAAAACTTATTTGAAATGAAAACGTGTGACTGAAACTGCTTATAGCAGTTATTTTTTTGTTCAATTTTCGTACGATGTACAAGTAATGTTTATTGCTCTTTGAAATATATGTATGTGTATATTATTTATCATTCATATTGTAAGACAAACACACCCAATGAAAAGTCAGATATAAGAAAAAGAAAAGGAAAAAGAAAAATATAAAGTGAATCTAATGTATAGTTCCATTTGATTGTTGTTTTCTATTTCTTTGTGCAGCAGCAACTTGTTCTTCTTGTTGAAGACAGTCGGCGAATACTTGCAAACGTGTTTGTAGTTCAGTCAATGCTTGTTGACGTTGAAGTAAATTTTCTCGCATTTGATTAACAAATTTTTCTTGATCATAATCGACCGTCTCTTGTGCTTGTTTAACGATTGCACGCAATTGTTTCGTTAATATGGGCTCTTTATTCATAAGAACATCTTGACAAGAATCGAACAAAGCGTCTTCATATTCTTGTAAATGTTCAACTTGTGCTGCATATGAAGCGGATGCTTCATCTTGTTCTTCGTCGTCATATAGATCGTTCGAAGATGAACTTGTACTATCATTTGACGATGCAGATCCATCATGATGATGAGGATAATGACTGTGATGGTGACGACGCTTATTTTCTTTGTCATCATCCATTGGCAACGCTAAATGAAACAGAAATCATCAGGTAACATGAGATGAAACAAATCTTAGCAAACCTTTTGACATGCCGTCCATTTTAATTTCATCGTCATCATTGGACAAACCCGCACCATTATTTCCAGCTCGTAGTTCTTTCACTCGATCTGCATAACGTAATGTATTCATCGTGTTTTCAACATCGGAATGTGTTGGTGAAACCATTGCAATCATACACACTTTGGACTTATCACCAATAAATGAATCACGTAAGACTTTTGTTAATGTTGAACCACGAAATGGTACATGACTACCATCGCCACGACCCAATGCACGAATACATTCTTTTAATGCTAGTAGAGATTTATTAATTTCTGAGCCTTCCATTCGTTGAAGACGATCACCACTTGCCGTATCTTTACCGCGTTCCGAACCAGCCAAATCGATCAATGACATTTTACCAACTTCTTTCATTGGACGACGTAATACAGCTGGATTATTATGATTGTTATTTCGTGACGATCCTGATACACTTGAAGTAACCGAAGCTGTTGATGCTGTTTTA